TTAATCCTGAATCCTGTATGCCTTATTTTCCTGGTATGTTAAATGGAATAGCTACCCCAGTGGAGTTGTGAAAACCGAGATACATATATCATATATATCTGACATATAAGTAGAATTAATCACAGCTTTTAATTATAATTTCTAGGTATACTTAATCCTGTATGCCTTATTTTCCTGGTATGTTAAATGGAATAGCTACCCCAGGGGAGTTGTGAAAACCAAGATACATATGTCATATATATCTGACATATAAGTAGAATTAATCACAGCTTTTAAATAATAATTATAGTGGCTAAAAATTAATTCTCTTGTTTTTATTATTTTCTATATATGTATCAGTATAAAAAGAGTAGAGAAAGCAAGTATGACAAGGAATTTTCTAGCCATCAGCAAAGACCAGTTATTTCCTCCCCCCCCACTCTTACTTTTTTTTTTCAATTAAAAAAAATTTTTTTTTGTGTTACCAGGGATTGAACTCAGGACTTTGCACTTGCAAAGTGGGCATGGTGCCACTGGGCTAAATCCCTGGCCCCTTTCCTTCAACTGTTAAAGTGAGTAAATATACTGTGTATGAATGTGAGAAGGAAAAACCACTACTATGAGTTAGAAATCATTGGAAAGCATTTTGATGCTGAACCAGGCATATTAGAGGGTAGTTTTAGGAGAATAGTTCACCTAAGTAGTATTTAAACATCAGCTGACACAGGTGAGAAAAAGTTATGAGTTTGTTTGTTTGCTTGTTTTAAGAAAGGAGGAAATTATAATTGGAAAGTTTAGTTAAGTACTAAATATTATATAGCTATTGTATTAGTTAGATTTTCACTGCTGGGATAAAATACCTGACATACACAATTTAAAGGAAGAGAAGGTTATTTTGGCTCATGGTTTCAAAGGTTTCAGTCCCTGGACAGCTGGGTCCAAGGCAGAAATATTATGGCAGGAGGGTGTGGGGGAGCCAGGAAGCAGAAAGAGTGTGGAAGAGACAGAATCAGAGATGGGTCTGGAGACAAGAACGTACCTTCCAGGTTGTGCAGCCAGTGACCTCTTTCCTCCAACCAGGACCCACTTCCTAACTGGCCTACTCACTAGGACCTCATCAAGAAGATAACCTAATCA